CCGCTGATATCGTGGCCAACAAATTTACGACCTAATAACTTTACTACTAAACACCCATCTACATTTTAAAGGCGATAATTTTGTCAGTCTACGACACGGCTTCTTACACACGTATAGAGTCACCACAAAAGAACAGAGCGCATGCGCAGCGCACAAAAGGCATCCAGCTTGCGTTATACAACAAGCCACACAACAAGCTTAGTTGCAAGAATGCATACAGGGTGCGACTTAATTGGAAGGATTAAAGCAAGCAATGTTTATAATACTTTTTATGYGGACGAACTTCGGAAACAAATTCTATTTATAAATTTTTTTATAAGAACGATTATAATGCGACTTAGTTGGAAGGATTAAAGCAAGCAATGTTYATAATACTTTTTATGCGGACGAACTTCGGAAACAAATTCTATTTATAAATTTTTTTATAAGAACGATTATAAATTTTACTATGCCGCAGTATAATTCTTTTCTAACAGCACATTTTTAGTTCTACAAGACCTGAAAAAGTGAAGAGGAGAGGAAGCTATCTTCTGAAACGTATTAATTCAGCTCCGTGTCTTCTCATTGATTATTAAAAATCATTATATAGTCAACTTCATAACCTAACGAACCGCCCTTTATGACTCAATCGCACATGTACCTGTTTAACTGTCTTCGACAACTAATAAACAGACCTCCACTTAAGTTGGCTGCCTTTCAAGATGTCCAAACAGGCTATTAAATAAATTTCTACTCTAGCATTTCCACCATAAAATTGTGGGAGAAATGCAACAATAACAATGCACTGCAGCACAACAGCAAGCCAACCGTATTGATAAGTGCGCAAAGGTGCAAGGTACTCAGCGACTCCGCGACAGATAAGAGCGCATGCGCATCATTGTGGCCGAGGTGGTGTATCGTAAATTGAGGGATTATCAACGGTCAATAATTTGTATTAATGTGGTTTTTATTATGCTAGTTCATAGACTACGGGATTATGGTAGTATGCCAGTGTGTAGCAATCGCAGGCATGCACTGTAATCGGAAGTTTGCTATGAAGCAATCATGTAAATAAACTTAGCGATTAGAAGCAAACACATTAAGACAATATTAATACATTTAGACGGATAATGGCAGTTCCGCATATGATTGGGCATAATGCATACATATGCATATTTCCATTGTAAATTCACAGTCAAAGTATGAGAGTAAAATTGGTTACATTTTGTGCTTACACCGTCAACAGGGTATATTTAAATTTCAATTTTCAACGAAGTTGAGCAGAAAATGTCGGAGATCTTATAAGGTATGTGTCTAATAATCTTTGTAATTGTATCTGTCTGCATCTAGGCGAACTGGCCCCTCAGTTTCAGAGATATCGATTTGAAATTTTTAACACAGCCATTTCTATACAAGAAGTTGCCCATTTGTCGGAACCGCTGATAACGTTTTTATTGAAACAAATCTTCACCAAATTTGGTCAGGCTTATTTTTATGGCAGTGCTACAATCCACGAAGAATCTTTTCAGATTGGTGGCATAAACTACTGTGATCAAATTGAAAGGTGAATTTTTAATTTACACTTCGGGCGTCGTTTTGAGAGGCTCTAAAAATAAATTCTTCGATTTTTACTATGTCTGAATTTATTGAACAAAGAAGTGCGATAATGCACCATCTCATAATGCATTGGTTATTCGTGATCACTTTGCCAAAAATTCAACAATTATCGTTCCGCAACCGCCGTATTCGCCTGATTTAGCTCCGTGGGACTTCTGGCTGCTCAGCAAACATTTTGAGTTAATTGAGGATATAAAAGTTGAATCGAAGAAGGCTCTGATGGCCATCACGATGGAGAATTTTTCCAAGAGTTATGATAACTGGAAAATTCATTGGCATAAGTGCAGCGAGAGGGCATTGCTTTGAAGGAGATGAAAAGGACAAAATTCACCTTTCAATTTGACCACAGTAGTACTTACATAAGTGACACGCAAAATCAGAATAGAAACCTTCATAGAAAATCTTTGTTTTTTTAATACTAAGTTACCTTAATGCGACTTGAAGGTTGTTTTTATCCAAAAATTGGCTGGGAATTTTTTGGTAACAAAATCCTTTTCGTTGGTACAAACCGTTTGGCTTTGAGTATAAATGTTATAAGAAATATGCCTTTGACGAATATAAAAGCTTCGGTGCAGTCGAAGTTAACATTTCTGTGGAAATGTGGTGACCTTTTTTGTAATTGAACATAAATTGAGAGTTAATATTCTGATGTCGGCAGTGTTTTGACTTAAGTGAAAACTATGTTTTCATTACCAGAAGAAATAATAAATCTAGAAGCAATGCTTGAGTAAACGGAGTGCTAATAATGCGGATGATTCCGTTTCACACTCTTCTTTCGTAAAATTACTTACTATCAGGGTGGACAATATGGATTCGGAATTTTTTTTTTTTTTTTTTTCAAGCATCGGTTCCACGTTTGATTTTTAAAAATTATTATAAATTCAGACAAACTAAATTATAAGCCGAATTATCATAAGCAAATATTTCTTCACTTCCCGATATCCTCCGACACTTTAAAGGAATTCGCTTTATAGAACTCGCGATAAAATTCTATAAAGCAGCAGAATATCAAACCCTTTCATCTGATCTATTTGCACTGGCAAATTATTGTTGTTTTTGTAGTGGAGTGTAAACAAGCAAGCTGACATACAAATACTAGAATGTTTGTATGTACATACACATCTATATTTGTTGTTGGGCGATTGTGAGCATATTGCACATAAATAGAGCAGAACAAGTCGGGCAAGCAGACAATTCGTCAGTTGGTTCGGATTCCTTTTGTTTTACTTTCCCATCACAAGTCAAACGATTATGTGGAAAATTTAGAAAATGGCATTGAAGTGAAACAGAAAAAACGCCGCACAATGCACTGTGTCAATAGGAAAACACACAGGCAACAGCAACAACAACCCACACATTGACAAAGTCACCCACAAGCCAAGTTGTTCATGGAAAAAGACAAAAACAAAGAACAAACATTAGTCGAGCGCACACATTCACATATACAATCGTCCATATGCAGAAAGGGGGGAAATGCCGCGGCGGTTGACGCGTTCGACACAGCGACAAGAGCGATTCTTTACGCATTTCTATTTGCGCCGAGCAAACTAAACAGAAGCGACAGCAAGCGTGTGACAGCGAGTCAATGAATTGTCAAATGGGTTAAATGCCTTTCACAAACAGCCCTCACACAATGGGCTCCCAGGCCAGACTGCTTGGTTGTGCGTCGGCTTTCGTTCCGATCGCTTGCAGAGTTCAATGAGTGCACTCAGTGTTGCGATGCGCTGCTAAGGTGGCTAAGGTGACTAAGGTGAGTGCACATAATCAGTGTTTGTTGGGTAAGAGGAGGACATGCTATACATACTTACATATATAAATACACACATATAGACACACGCATGCTGGGAGTAGTGGAGGTGAAGTGTGCGAGCATTTCGCTGGCACGCGATTCAAATGGTCACCAATTGGTTTGTACAAGTCTTCAGATATGTATATAGTAACGTTTTCATGGCTAGGTGTGTATCTGTATACTGAAATGTAGATAAGTATGTACCTATGTAGTCAAAGTTTTTACATGAATTTGGTCATTTTGCACCAAATAAACATACATACATATATATTCCAACTTGAATAGTTAGTGAACCTTTAAATTGATTTGTTCGTACATATATTCAGTAGAAATGAGAACGGAAATGTTAACGCTTGGCCGGCATTACATAAACATTATTTTATATGCCCCCAAATTATAATGGAAATGGAAATAGAATTACTCTATAGAGTTCAATTTAGTAAATGCTCAATTATGCACTTCTTGAACTTTCCTTATTTGGTTATTTCGCAGGTAATCTGTCCATATAAGCAAAGTCTCATAAGCTCAAACCATCTGTACTTTTTATTTCCATGTGGAAAGCAGAAACCAAAGTTTTAGTCAAATGCTAGAAATTCAATTTTTCCACTATGGAATTTAGAATATTTTTTGACACCTGGCCAATATTGAAAGTTATGTGCTGCATATAAAATTCGGAAACAACATGAAAAAAGTAAACTTCGGCTGAGCAGAGGTCGTAATACCTTCACAGGTAGTTTGTTTGGCAGCTATACTTTTTAGGGTTACGATTTTGGCGCTTCCGACAATTGATCATTTTCTTGAGGTGAAAAGAAGGCGTGCAAATTTCGGGTTCGATATTTCAAAAACTAAGACACTAGTTGTTGTATATACAGACAGACGGTTGCAGTTATTCGACTAACGTGGTCACGTGATTGTCGAAAATGGTGAAAACTGTTGAATTGTTTGATATATTCTGATTCTAAGATGAGATCTTATTAAGTTATGGAAATTATGGATTAATAATTTGATGACTTCGCTGCAAACACAGATTTCGGCTTATATTTTTATAGATTTACAACTACATACCACCTTTTACCCAAAATTACATACACATAGTTTTATTGCTAAACAAGAAAAGGTTATAATGAAAATGTGGAAACAAAAGCGGTATACTTATGTCTATTACCCTTTTCCTTGATACTTAGAAGTTGGCGTTTCGAACAAGCAGCAAAGATATGATTACCGTATCAATGAGGAATTCTCTGAAGTAATAAATTTAACTAATTCGAGAGCTGAGCTCATGCATAGAATGCAGAGAGGAAGTAAATCAGCTATCTGCTGACTTGAAACAACCGTATTTTATTTACTACTAATTGCTACTCTCTGAACGCTTTCGTTAATTTTATTAAATACTGAATTAAAAAAAAAATTCATTACCTCTCGAGCATAGCTGCTGAAATTATATATGTACACATACATTGATATGAAGCAAAGCATCTGCTAACCATAGGCTCATGTCGTAGTAAGCAAATCTGAAACCAGAGAAGTCTCTTGATAACCTCTACGACCTTAACATTTGGTAAATAAACAAATTATTTAACTCGTACTTTAACGGCAAATTATTTCCGATTTATAGGTTTTCGAGTACTAGAAGTGACAAGATGTTTAGAAGTACGCTAGTGATTTGCTTTTGCCTTTTAAGCTTATCCCAAGCAGCTGTTTATTCAGAGCGCTACTTTAAGGACCCAGGTAAGCAAGAAAACAAAAAGAAATTCAAAAAATATTTTTATTTGTTTCATAAGTCATATATTTTTACCATCGCAGCGCATCCCGGCAAATGTGTTATAAAGGAGAAAGTAGTATCTCCTGGTCAGAGCATTAAACACCCCGTTATGGCTTGTGCGCAATTCACCTGTGATAATGCACAAGGCTTGGCGACGATCGAAACGTGAGTCATTCGTATATGCATCTACAATTTTATATAAATATTTTATATTTTAATTTCAACCAATTTTATTTCAGCTGTGATCCCGTCAGTGCTTTGCCTTCGCCATTTTCTATGATTAAATACGATCCTCGGGACAAGCCGACCTGCTCTTGGGGCGATTTCATTAATACGAACGCACCATACCCGGAATGCTGCAAACGGCATATCTCTTGTGTACTTTGAGATAGTATCTAATGCGTGATTACAAATAAATGTGCAGAAAATGCTGTGGTCAAAAAATAAAATAAAAATATAAAAGTTAAAAAAAAATTAAGAAAACATATTAAATACATTATAAGATTGTTTGACAAATATTGATTCAAAAAGAAATTAAATAATAGGAGTTTTTAGTATTTTTTCAAGTTCTCTTCAAAATATCTTCTAACAACTTTTGAGCGTCCTTTGATGTGCCGCGTAAATTTAGTTAATTCTGCTAATTATACTTGCTTATAATTATCAAAGAGCAATAAAAATATTACTTATGGTGATTAATCACCCACGAGAAATGATTATCGGGTTGATCCAGTATATATCGGTAGCTCCAAACAAACCGCATTCGAGTAAAATGTGCACAGTTGCAGGGCAACCCAAATCAATCAAACACACACATGCACACACACATACATATGTGTGCCTTACAAAGAACAAAAGTTATGCGGCGACAAAGAGGTCTTTTAAATGCAAAACACTAATTTTGTAAAATAAAAGCACGAAAAAATAGATTGTTTTCGAAAAATTCAAAACTTCAAAGCTAAAGCCCAGAAAAAATAGCTTTTCATGCGATACATATCCATACATGGCTGTACGAGTATATAGTATACTCGTATGTGTGAGTCCCCACAGAATGTCGTTGGCTTTCGTTTTGTGATGGCGCACAGCCTCCGAGTACAGTATCGGGCTACTGTGTAAGTGTGTGCGTGCACATGTCTGTGGTCGACTCCAAATGCGACTGATGTGCCATTTGATTGTCGTCGAGATGTCGCCTTTTGAGTCGCGGTTGCACTGCTCCACTGACACTGACGCTTATTACCTTGCGGCCGGTGCTGTGGCACGCACACTTGTGTTTGTGTGTGCGTGTGAGTGTGTGTGCTGATCAGTGCAACCATCTCAGCGTGATCAATCACACTCGGCTCATCTGTCAGTTGTTTAATAGACTTCATTATTTATTTTATGTTGCATTGACAATTCTTTTTCTTCGCTTTGGATTTATTTGTGGCGAGTAGCCAAGCACAGGTAACTATTGACAAATATTTAGCGATTTGAAGTGACAAATAATATTTATAAGAGAAAAAATTAAAACAAATGATTATGGAAAGTCAATTTCTCTTCAACTGATAATCATTCTTCGACAACTCTTCTGCAGAATTTTTGAAAATCACCAAGGAATACTATATATGTATATGTGTTATGGATATAAGTATAAGTTCATATATGGAAGTCACTGTTTGTAAGTATATACATGCATACACATGTATGTATATAGATTAATAAGTGGATAATGTTCGCGGAATGAGGAGGACCCACTTTTGAGTTTAAGTGGAAGTAATGTCTCTATATTTATATCTTTGATAAAATCATAAATTAGAAGACTTATAAAATTTTTCACTTGTTGGAAAATGTCTCTTGAATTTCTTGGACAGGTTAACTATTAGTCGCATGAAATCGTTGAATTATTAGTGGCTGAATTATTCTGCTACCTTCTACTTCCCATATATTGTATTAAAGAAGGTAATTCCAAGCAAAATTAATTTATAAAATACATGAGTTTCTCATGAAACTGATTATTTTAATTATTCTACTTATGGTATGTCCAGATTCAACATGGGCCAACGAAAAGTGAAATTGTGCACTAGAATGTAGGGTGATCTTCACGCAGTTCCGGTTAGCAATCTACCTTTTATATAACATAGTATGAGCAAACAACTCTTCGAGGTCTTTGAAGTTCTTCCATACACTGCAAAATCTTCAATAAATGTTATTCATTGCTATAAAACCAAGTTTCTATTCATTTTAAGTGAAGCGAGCATTTTTAGAAACGAAATGTCTTTTTCAAGTAGAAAAATAAAGATTTTCATGAACTCTTTCCATGATACTATTCGGAGGGATGAAAAGCTGAAAATTTCACACATAAAAGGGTAAAGCCACGGAGGTGTAAAACAACCCTCAAATAAATACTTACACATATACCAATGTGTCTTCTTACTGTGGCTCAACACCGCCATACCAGACACTGGTATGCAAATTGCATTTTTCCATACTCAAAGGGGGAAGGAATGAGTAAGGATAAAATGTTCTAAGCATGCTTACTTTCATGAAAATATAAGCAACTACAACTAACTGCTTTTATACGAATTGTAACTGTTGTTGCTCATAAATTATCGAATTCTGTTGCAAAGTAAAACTTGATAGCCGCCAGCACGCAAATGCCTTACTAGCAACAGTGAGATGGCTTCCAAGTAAGCAAAAATACCGAAGAAGAGAAATTAATGAGAAGTTTAAAAATAATTTCTATGAATTTAATCAATGTAAAATAAGTTGATGAAACTTTAACGAGAAAACTTTTAAAGAGCAAACGTCTTTCATTAGGAAGTCCCATTTAGGAAACTTTTCTAAAATCTTAAGTTATAGATTTATTTGGTGGATTCGAATAAAGTTTGATTACGATGCTTTAGACCACCACAACATTAATGCTGTCTAGAATTTGCTAAGACTTTCGATTTCTATCAATTGTTCTATAACTGGGAAAGCTGTTTTCATTGCAAGCATCTACATTTTCCTCGCTCTCTTGAAATTGTGAAGTTGAGATTGTGCTTTGGAAAATAAAGATTGAAATTGGATCGGGTGAGATGTGGACCCAAACCAAAAGCCGTTTAAAGATATTTTGTATGTCAGAAATGCTACTTGAACGCCACAAAAAGAAGTAATTTTGGCATTGGATAGTATGTGGTGATAAAAAATGGATCCATTACGATAACTCTAAATGCAAAAAAATCATATGTTGAACCTCACCAACCAGCCGAATATCAATGATGCCAAGGTAAGGATGCTCTGTATTTGTAGAGATCAGAGAGACGGACTGTACTATGAGCTTCTATAAGCCAGACTTTGCCTTTCCTGACTATCATTGGTTTCGGTCGATGCAGAGTGCCTCAATGGAATACAGTTATCATCAGAATAGGGTGTCAAAAATTGTCTGTCCAAGCCAGAAAAATGGGAAAGTTTTAACTTCGGATTCTTTTAATAAAAAGAAAAAATTCTTAAATGAACAGCAAAAATCGAACTCCAAACTTATCAGCAAAGAGAAATTGTGTACGTGTTCTCCAGTCGTGAGTCTAAAATCACGTCGTAGAGAAAGGTCAAATGCCCGTTTAGATGATTATGAGAAACAAAATATTAAGCAAGGGAAGCCTTACAGTTTTTCACTTAGAAATCTGGCACTAATGCTTTATGGATATGATGTGTATTTTAAGTCCAAAACTATGATCTAACATTGTTTCAGTCTCGGCTGGAAGCATAAATCATGCAAACATATATATCTATGAACGAACATTTTGGTGCTTCCCATCAAAAGGAATTAATAATAATCCCGAGAGACATAGCCACACTTTAAGCTTGTTATTTTCACTCTTAAATGAGGATTTTGCATATGTGTGTATGTATATGCAATATGATGCGCTTATACACATAATAAAATGTGTTGTAGTAACTTGGCTTGGTAGCAACTATAAAATTTAGTTCGGCAATTCGTCTAGTCAGCCGATGTTAGCGTGACCAGAGTGTGGAGCAGAAGTGACCATTTCGGTGGCGCTCCATTAGTTAATGAAACCTTCAACTGTTACCCTGATATGCTCTTCCTGCTTTCGCTATACTTCTTCCATTCGCTTGTACATTTTTGTCCATTTAACGACTTCTCTGCTCTTTGCACCGATTATTTTATTATTCTAGAAAAGCTCACATGTACAAGTGTAAGTATGTACGCATGTATGTATGTATGTATGTATGTAAGCATATACTCCGGTACTTTCTCAAATTCTCTTTTCATTTCACTTTACCCCATTTGCCATGTTTGGCGCCCACTCTTGTCGTAAAAGTGAGTTATGGCAAATAGTTTTTGAGTAAATGATAATTTTCGGCAAAACGGGGGAACTCGTTTCCTTACCATCGTTTTGTATTGAAGCATTTATTCTTTGTGATTTCTATCACTGTTTTGCACTTACATATGCATGTGTGTGCACTTAATGTCAGGTAGTGGAAAAGTTTTAAGCTTTTTATTACATGTATTATTATTAGTGAAATTATCTTCACTTTTGTATAGAACATATGTATATGTATCTAAGTACATAAATACGATGTGGAGCATATATTTGTTTGTTATGTAACACTATCAAGCTATTTAATAACAAAATCGGATAATTTGTTGATATCGCTCATATATTTCCACCAACACATGCATTTATCTATACAAATAATAGCATTCACACACAATATAATCTAATATTTAAGCAAACTAAGCAAACACTTGCCATAAAAAGTAATGCTTAAGCGCCAATTAGGCACCAGGAAATTTTCAATGGCTTTTTGTCGGCTTTTCAGTAGACTTCTCATATTTGAATAACCGAAGACATTATCGTTTTCATAGAAAGCACCCTAATCGGTATATAATAAACTTTATAATATTTACAAGAATAATTTGATAAAGAAATCCACCCAAATGTTCATATTTTACAGACATGCTCCTTTCGACGAGAATGCATTTTTGAATAATATTGATATTTTATAATATAACCCAGCCTTTTGAAAACATTAAGTTAATAAATGAGGGAAGGTAGTTTTTATTTTAACTATGCGGTAACTGGTAACAAGCCGTTGCAAGCCGTTTTCTATTTTACTACGCATCTATTTTATGTGATTTCGTTCCTGATCCTAAAGAAGAGTAAGTTTGGTATCATCTTCTAATCATCGATTCGATCGCTGCTCTTTCCCCGTAAACGCAACAACACATTACAGAGGCAAATTCAAGCGAAGAGAGTATGGGTATATCTCATTAATGCAATATAACTGTTTTTTTCATTTATACCACGATTTCATTTACAGATTTAAGGTTTAGATAGAAGGAGGATCACATACGTACATATTGACTAGAGGATATATTAGCGCAAGAGCGGTCAGTCTCTTCGATCAGCTGGTTTAGTAAACCAAGTGAGCAATAAAATTATGTAAAATTTGCGCGAACCGCGTTTTCCTCGATTGGTATGATATTTTTTGTTTCGTATGAAGTTTGATTTTAACTTACTT